CCTTCCAGGTTACATTTATTAAGCCAGATGCTGGGCCCCTGCTGTGATGAAATGGAGGTGGCTGAAGGTGTAGCTGATGCAGTTGCTGACATACAAGCAGAAAGGGTGATGATGTCATGTGTGGTTTGTAATGTCTTGCTTCTTCAAAGCAAATCTGCATGCTGCCCCTTCACCATGGGTAAGAAATAAGTGATCTAACATTTGGAAGAACATGTGAAAGGCAGCAGGAGAGATGCTGCTGGTCAGTCTGTGGTTGGGCAGTGACTCAGCCTTGCTTTAAAAAAGGAAATAAAAGGGTTTGCTCCCAGCTTTAGGTATCTTTACAGTTCTGTCAGATTGTGCTCTCCTTAACATAGCAGAAATATGTGAATCCTGTAAACTTTTACAGCATTTTTAAAGCTCTATGAAAGAAAAATAAGCTAACTACAGGAATCATAGCCAGCCTAGGCCTAAAGTTGCCTACCACTTACCTGAGCTTTCTTAAATCTAACTTGACTTACTTCCAGGCTTCTGCCAATATTCTACATTTAAATGAAATGAAAAGTTGGAGTCATTAAGGCAGCCACTTAGAAAAAAAAAAACAAAGTTTCAAAGAAAAACTGTCAGGCATTGCATCACCTTTGGTTCCTCAGGAACCTGCACACCACCCCGATTACCTGGTTCTCCACCTGCATCCCAGAGTTGCTCAGCTAAACTACTACTTGTGCTGAGAACTGAACCACACTTGTACCAGCAAAGAATACTGCATCTTGCATCGTGATCCAACCTACCTTCTGCACTGGTTTATGTTCTTAGCTAAAGCCATCCTTTTGTTGTTCTACTAGGTCAAATTTTAACGCATAACTGCCACAAAACATTAAAATACAAATTTAAAAAAAAAAAAAAAAAAGCTTAAGCCAGGCTCTGGTCTTTAGTTGCTAAGGAACTAAAACTGGGAGTTCTGTATCACTGAATCAACCTGCTGAAAACAGTGAGGGCAGACAGCACTACTGGTAATTCCACAAGAAATATATTGACTTGTGAAAGTAATTCCACAGAGGGGAGAGAAGAGTCATCAGTTGAATATCTTTATAGATTTAGTCTTGAAAAAAACAGTTAAATGCTTTGAATCAGCCCTCTGTACAAATCAATCCCACTATGAGTAAAAAACTGAAAACAAACCGTACTTGGCTATGGCTACAACTGTGTATCATGTCTTTAAACCAACTGTATAAACTGCTCCGAGACAGGGCCCTGGAGCAGTGCGAGGAAAGGCAAGGAACACACCTGGGTAGGATCTCCTGTCCTACTGCCAGCCTGTGGCATTTTCTGTTTCGCATAAAAATAAAGTGTTCTGGCAGGAGGGCTTCCAACACTGTGGATGAATGTTGAAAATAAACCAAAACTGCATTAGCTAACACCTGAAAAATGCTGACCAGGATCCATGAAGCCGCCAAGCACATTTTTTCCTCCCCATGCAGGTGTCCATTACTGCAGTAATTTAGAGTTGCACTTTAAGAGGTACCTAATCAAGAATCTCTGTTAATGACAAACATTAAATGAAATATGATTTTCAAAAACAAGGGGAACACCCTAACCCATTTCCTTTGTATTTGTCAAAATAAGGCCTATGTTCTCCAGCCTTTCCCACAGCTGTGATGCTGCCCAGCCCTGTTTTCCCTGTGTAGTGCTGTCCAATTTAAACAAACACTTACCTCTATGGTGTCTGGCAGTACGAACAGGCTGGAAAAACCCCCCACACACCAAACCAGGAGTCAGCAGACAAGTTTTGCTTCTATCAGAGAGCTCACAGGCACCCTGGGTGTTGTACACGGCTCCTGGAGGCCCGAGTAACTGGTACCAGTGAACTAATGCTTCAATGGAAAGAGAAAGGGCATCCCAGTACTAAATGAAACAAATCTTTTATTCATGAGCACTGTCATTTCAAATTCACAGATTATGATAGAAAGGCAAATCAGAAGAGACTGCCAGAGCATCTTTTAAATGATAAAGGTATAAATTTTCTTTCTGAACATTTCTAATTTAAGAAAGAAAAAGGTTGCATAGGCTTTCTACAGGTGTGCGCAAAAGAATCTGAAGTACATGGAGGGTTTACATTACAATTCAGAGTGTACGTTGCCTACCTGAAAAGGAAAATATGTACTTGCAAGTCCAAGACAGCTATTGGGACAACCTACAGAATAAGGCTTATATTGACTTGTCAGTCCTGTAAAATATACTGAGCACGTAACTAGCAAAAAAGGAAAATGACACTTGTGAATCTTGTTCTGGAATCTCTCCCCGCTGGGATCTGTTCAGAAAGGACTATTTTTAAGTTTGCCTCTCCCAGGTTACTTTGGAAAACAAAGAGTGGTAGTGGGATGATCAGGGGATTCTTCACAGCATCAGAACAAAACAGAACATCTATCAGAGCACAAGTGGAATGTTCGCGGCATGCAGAAACAACCAACCATGCAGACAGAAAAAATCTTCAATAAATTACAAGCATAAAATTATTAAAATTTCTCTTTAAAAGAACAGCTACAGCACCTGTGTAGCCTCGACAGTCATACCATCACAGCTGAAAGAGGTCTACTCTTCCGGAGAGCAGGCCTGCAGGCCTGACAGAGAGAGGTTCTCCATGGCTATTCTTAGTGAGCATGTGGCTTGTTCTTTGGTGTGTGAAAGTCAAAGTTCTGGGAGGATGTTCCACTTGCTTAATTCTGCATTTTCAATCGTTCTCTGTGAATACTTCTAGTTACTTATCAGACTAACCTCTAGAACGAGAGTGGGTCCATTATAAAGTGAATTCTTGCAGGTGATAAAGTACGCATGTTCCTGATGATGTTTGGTGGTACATCAGTGATTACTATGACAGCATCATTTTGGTTTTGTTACAGAAAACATCAGCTATTCCTAAAAATAACGGTATTTTTTTCCTCTTTTTTTTAAAAAAAAAAAGTGTCAGTTACAAAACCAAGCTCATACAGTCCACATTTTTTTAAAAAATAGGATTTAAATAATTTATAACATGAATCTTTCTAATGTGCAAAAAAAGGACATACAAGCAGACAAAGTAGTATTTAAGAGGAAAAAGGAGCCCCATCTTCATTACATAGGGATCTGGGGTTCAAATGCAAAGATCTGTTAAACATCATGTCCAAAGGAATAACTAATAGCATGTTTCCTTGCTCCATTTAGCCTTTTGAATCGCTCAAGAGATTTTAACATCTATCCAAAAGAAAGTAATATAAAATGCAGGATGCACAAGAACAGATATAAGCAGTGCTCTGACCTAAATATATTTGTGTAGCATCTCTAAAGCTTAAGTTAATGTATTAAGAAAGCAGACAAAAGGCACAAAATCAATCGGTACTGCAGAGAGGTCGAGAGGTCGGCATCCATGCTGCTGGCTGTCAGAAATACAGCGGTTTCCTTACGGGGCGCCGACGAAAGCAGCACTGAGCAGAAGTCGGCACATTTTACATTTGCCTTTTGTTGCCACTTCTCTCAAAAACATCTTCACTTTCAACAAACACAAACTAAAAAGCAACAAAGCCTAAACACACTTGCAGAATCCACTTTCTTAGTGTCACAGTGGTTACCTTACAAAGCAAGATCAAGCTACGGGATGATTTACTTACTTTTTTTTTTTTTCACTTCACAAATTAGATCCCATTTAGTTTGTTTCATTGATAAAGTTATTGTCTCAATGTAATAATTTATTAAATCGTTACATCAGAAAATAATTCATCTGAGAAAGCTAGTTATATCATCTCTATCGTTCATCCAAATATTTCTTTCAGAAGCAATCAACTGGATCACAAAAGCAAAATAAATCAAAATACAGCTCTGCTTGGAGCCTTAATATGGAATTGAGGGCTCTGACCAGACGAGCTCTGTCTGGTTTCCTGGAGCAGTGTACAGAACCCGCTTCTCGGCTGCTGGGGAAGGCTCGGGGCTGGCACAGCAGGACAGGACTCCTCCCCAGCCTCACCCACCGCAGTGCACAGCCCGGCATGTGAGCGTGAACGCATCAGCGCTGGTTTCACTCAGAAGGCCAGGCTGTGAACGGGGGTGGCTGGCACAGCCCAGGGGCCTGCTACGCCTCACCTACGTGGGGCTGGACAGCTGAGGTGAGGGTGAGCTGGAACCCCACCACCACCTCCGCCAGAAGGGTTTAGCAGAACGTGTAACCCAAAAGCATCAGCGTGACAGGAGCCAGAGAACACGGCACAGCAAGATCAAAGCTACCAGAGCAGCTGGCCCACTGGTGACCAGAGATCCATCAAACAGCTGCAAGTATGAACAAACGAAAAAGCGAGGACACAACGGGTTAGTGTGAACAACGGTTCGGAGAAGGTATTGCTACTTCTTGTAAGATGGCAGAAAACTCACACTCGTGTCAGGACACATGCTCTGACGTCAGAATCCCGAAAAGCGAGCGAGCGAGCGAGCACGCGGTCAGTGTATCATTCTGGTGTCGGTCTGACGTCAGAATCCCGAAAAGCGAGCGAGCAAGCACGCGGTCAGTGTATCATTCTGGTGTCGAAGTGAGTTACTCAATGACTGTTTAGACAGACTGAGTGCCATTAAGTGACACGTCACATTTGAAGTGCAAAACATTTTTGGCAAAAGTGAAAAATAGAAAAACCTTAACCAGTACTAATAAAAAAGTATTTTCTTAAATAGTAGCACAGGGCCTGATCCTGCAAGCACACAGCTGGGCTGAGCCCAGCCGGAGTTCTATGCCCTAACACTTAGAGGAAAAGGTCTTTAAATCACTGTTAGTGTTTATACTTGCTTACATGTAGTGTAAATAATACACACACAAGCACATACACACTGCGTGTACATATGTGTGTATATATGGATGTGTGCGTGGCTGTGTGTATCCATACACACAAAATGGCTCCTTAATAAACTTGAGCTTGTGGTTATTTTGAGATGCATCATTCACAGTATATAGCTTCTCGTTTGTATCTTCTGATAACAGGACCTATTCAATGACATCTTGAACATATATACTGTATCATTTTAATGCCTTTAAGGTAAAGTTATGAGGCAACTGCTCTATCCCATCAGTGGGTCTTCCAGAGAGGATTCAAGTATAGCCAACCATCGCCCTGCAAGAAAATGAGGGAGAGTTTACAAACAAGGTTTATACATACTGCATCTGTGTATGTCCACATAAAAGCCAAAACGCTACTAATCAACACAAGAAACCATCCCTGTCATCTGAAAACGCTGTGCTTAATGAATTTACAGGTCATCTGGGTGGGAGGGAAAAAACTAGGAGGAGGAAGAGAAGCAATGGGAAGGTGCAACAGATGAACTGCTGGTTTAAATAGCTGCACACGCTGGCTAACCTAACAACATGGTCACGTAATAATTCCCTCAGTCAGTCTTATTTCCCTTCCCTCTCTCCTCTAAGAATGGGCAAAGACAAACTTAGTAAAATCTGTTTCATTTCAAGCAGATGAAGCCCAAGTCTGTGTTTAAGATGTCCATGCTCACTTACATTGGACAAGTATCCCTAGATCATGTTCACTGTAGTATGCTGAGATGAAGATTAGTAGGGCATGCGAGTATACAACATTTGCAAGAGTAAGGTGTAAATTTTAAGGTAAAAAAAAAAAATAGCCTTAAGTGCCTGATATTAGGTATCAAAAATTCAGGTTAAAATAAATCTAACTGAAGGAAAGTGAACAAGTTTACAATGAGGACATGGAAAAATCCATTGCTCTTCTTTTAAGAGCCAGACTCTGGCAAAAATAGAATTTAAAACAATCACTGGTATCTAAAAACACTAGCCCATGGTAAAATCCACAAATTTCTTTGTAGTAGCATCCTCCTAGATGGATGCAGAAACATGCTATAGGGTCTTTAAAATTCGACAATGAAAGTACCTCTTTGGCAAAGTATTTTGGTTTCCACGGCACTGCGAGAGCCACACGCTGCCTCTCCTCTGCCCGCTGTCTCTCTTCCAGGCGGTGCTTGTGTTCTGTTGCTGCATCGATATTCCCCTCTTTCAGAGAACTGGTGACGTGCTGCCAAAGGTGCCTGCGTGGTGGAGAAGCAGCACAAGCGACGGAGTGAGAACAGTTCTGCCACAGCCCAGTGCCTGGCTAGACAGCCGTGCGGTGCGGCGAGAGGCAGAGCGATGCCGTGCTCTCCGTGCCAGTTTTGCAAGCCACGCACACAGCTCAGGCACCATCACTCTCCTGGGATATGCATCGCGTTTGTGGACCAGATTTTCAGATTTCCTCAACTCCCGGTATTTTACCACACAAGTTAACTTTCTCAGTGGCCTTTGTTCATGTTCCTGACTCTTCACAACCTGAGCTTTTTCTCAAAGATAGATGTATTTTTATCATTTTCTGTTCACATTCTTTACTGATGATCCACCCCCAAAGAACATACACTTATTTGCAGTTAAATTCCTGAATTACAAGAGAATGTTAGCCAAAAGCCAAGAGTACATTAAACTGGGACACAGACTGTTCTCACCAGGTCACTAACAGAGGAACTGATGCACTGATTCTAGGGAGCCCTTCTAAGATCTTTGCTCTATATTCCCAGTTAACAATAATTATCAGTATATAACTAAACTTGTTTTTCACAGGACTGACTGCATTCAGATGCAGTGCCTTCTCGCACTGTATTAGCCTAGCAGAAACTTTGCCCAGAAAAATACTGAGAAGAAACAGACTGCAGCTTTCATATATTTCCAGGTTGTTTAAATGAGTGTCCTGGTTTTTGCTAGGATAGGGTTAATTTTCTTCTTAGCAGCTAGAAAACACTGTGTTTTGAGTTTCTGCTTTATGGTCTGATAAAGTGCACATCCTGCAGGAACACTGGATAGTTGTAATTTGCTTACTAGTATCCAAAATACAATAAATACATAGCAGAGCTACTGGTTTCCATTTACTCCAACCTTTCTGTTCCTAAACTACAGGGGGAAAATGAGTTTGTGATAAGCAAGCATGTCTATAAAGTAGGAAAATGGTATCTGACCCCGCACAATAACAAGACACACCTTCACCTTTGTACAATAAACAGAACATATTTACAGATAATAAAATGAAGCTTAACTCATGTTTTTAAATCCTCCAATAAAACATTCCTAAATTCAAGAAAAATACCGATTTTTCTGAAGATAAATATTTGTCAACAGTTATTTACAATGAATAACGGAACAAGTTTTTTTCTAATGTACCTAGTCAGAGTTAGTCATGTGATGTTTAAGGCTGAGAGCTTTAAAACTGTGTGTGTGTGTATTTGTATCTCACACTGCATCACATTTTATGTATTTTTATACATATATATATATTCTAAAATATATAAACATGAAATTCCTGTGTAAATTATAAGATGCCACATTACTTGCACAAACTAATTTGACTACCATGTTACAATCACCCAAAAAAGCAGGTGAAAACACTGCATTATCATTTTCCAAATGCTCATTGAAACACACACAAGCACTTTTCCCCCTCTACAAAATTGATGCGTATGTCACTAAAATGTAATTTAAGTTCCAGAGAAGCAATACACAGCTTCAGCTGTTTGTGCCCAGGTGCATGTGCTGTGGGAAGCGAGGCGTTTTTGAACACCACCGTTATCTCTGCAGTTTGCTTCCCTGTGCTGTTCCCAGGTGAGGTTCAGACACGGAACACTAACGCCTCTGCCCTTACCTGGACTCCAGTGGGCCTTGCTTTGCTATCGGCCGAATCCTTTTCCTGATAACAGGCAGCTTGGTCGTGTCGATCACTTTGGTTTCTCCGTTGCTGTAAGTAAATTCCAGGGTGCCATTCCATTCTCCCTGTGCCTTGCAGACAATGGTGTTAGTGGGATTGTGTTTCACTTCAGCTGTAACCCTGATTCAAGAGCAAAGAAAACAAAAGACCACAGAAATAACTGGTACTGTTTATTAGCAGCATATGAAAGCACTACCACAGCTCAGGCTACACGCAGCTTTCTATAGCTATAAAGTGATTTTTCAAGCAAAGTACTGATGCTGTCTCCAAAAAGAAAGACTCAATCCAAGCAAGCTCTGCTAACACAAAAATAGATTTTGGACAACACTCTCCCAAAGCAGAGCAGTAACCCAATTTAAAACTCTGAAACTCAGCTCTAACCCAGAATTGTTTACCTCATCAGCCTGAAAAACAACCCCTGACATTCATGTGACATTTTCAGTACACGTTATTTTCACACCTGAACATAATGCTGTCAGATACCTATGTCAAAGACTTCAGGTACCTTTTTCTTCTCTAGCTCTACAAATTTACTTCACTGCTGCAGACAGGCAATGATTCAAGCTACCTCAGTGGTCCAAGAACTGGTCTGACAGTGAGCAAAATCGATAGGTAGGACTGGAAAAGCAAAATGCAGGGAGAAGTTTTGTGTGTGCGTGTCTATGAACACGCACAAACGTGCTTCAGCAAGCCATGTCAAGTAATCTGTAAACTCATTTTTTAAATTATTAAACTTATACAGCACCTTCCCCAGTACCTTCCCCAATTTTCACTCACCCCAACGGCACCAATTATTAATCTACACCTTTTAGAAAAACCTCTGTCAAAACAGCCCATGTTGATATTTGCCCAAACACAATATTGAAATGGTTGACCCACGTATAGAAGAATAATTACAGCAACTGAAACAAAAGAGAGTTAACTCTGCAAAAGCACAGCATCCCAACAGGCAGCACAGCCTTCTCACGGACACTGCTACTGTCCACAGCAGGACAAGAAAGGGGTCTCTATATGTTAATGACTGGGTCATCAGCTTGCGCAAGGAAGTAAGATAGGAAGCTATCTTGCACAGTGCCTCTTCACATCCTTAATAAAGGGAAACCAAAGACACAAAAATAGTATTTTCATCATCCAGAATTTCAGTGCAGAAGTAGGACCCCCCAATTGGGAGCTACCACTATGGGCAGTGACACTTTTGCTTCTCTCCTCCTTACAGGAACTCCACCTGGAACAGCAGTTCACCCACAAGACTCGTGCAGAAGCAGCAGCTGATGTAGCAGAGAGATTTCTATGCACATTTTTCTGACCCTGCACTTACAGCCATTTTTACAAGCAACAAAGTCTGGAAGAATACATACACTTTAGTTTAATGAGAGAAAGATATCCAATTCAGTTAAATGACAGAAACTGCTCTAAAGCTGGAAGTCATCTCCGACATTAGAAGGAAAAGAAATTCAGGTATCTGTCTATAAAATATTCCAAGAGAAGAACTGCAGAGATGCCCAACAATCTTTCCATTGAAATCCAGTAGCAGGTAACAAGAATAAGGGAGTAATTCCCGTACCTGTGGACCTTCCCTCCGTAGAACGGCTTGGTGTGGAATGTGACCGTAGCAGAATAGCCCGTTCTGGCACAATTAATGTTGACTTTCCCTCCAAGCTCCACCCATGGGATGGTAAGTATCGAGCGAGCATAAGCACTAGGTAGGGTGAAAACATATTCTTCTTCATGTTCCATCAAGTAAAGAACACCTACGTAGAAAGAAGGTTGAAAGTGAAATTATAAAAGTTAACTGATAAAACTTGACAGTCACTGACCAATTACTGTCATCAAAATGTACTTCCACAGAGAGCACAACGTGCAACTCGCCTTGCAGGAGGGCACTGGCTGCTAAGAAAAAAAAAAGTCTGCCCTCTGGAACAAGTTTCTTCAAACGTTTTCAAAAACACCCATTTTGAATGTGTACTCTTGGGGTCCTTCATGGTATCAAACGGCTTAGCAGAAAATCTGACCAGATTACTTATTTTGTGTTACTGACAAACAATAAACTGCTAAGGGAGGGGGGGAAAAAAATAACATTTTGCTTGCAGAAAGCCATACTGGAATATTGAGATGCTTACTCAATGTCGTATCATAATTTCTCTCCAGAAAAAACAGGCATGGACAAGGACTCTTCAGTTCTCCATTCAATCAGACACCAACCAGGTCCTCTCCGCTAATTTCTTACCGTTATGCGTTACATTTGTCGGTGGGAGTGAAAGGCTCTCTCCAGGACTGCCTGGATGCAACTAGGAAACATGCTTAAGGAAGCCATCTAGAAAATCCCTAAATTTACTCCTTCATTTCCAAATGCCTGGTTTCCCACACCAAAGTCTCACATAATCAACAGGAGGCCACCAGGGCCGCTGCTCTATTACTACCAAGACCAATGTCTTTACCGTGCAGAGAAAATTAATGGCAATTCTATTTCATTCTCAAAAAGTTTCTCAACGCTCAGCATTATGGGGTTGGAAATAAAAACAACAACATGCAGGAGCGGGGATTTTTCACAATTATTTGGAACTATGAAGACAGTTGCACGTCTGGTCAGATCTCAGCTTCCCTTGAGGTTACAGGTACAACTCTATCCCCACCATAGCTGTACTGTGGTCTTCAGGATGACAAAGAACAGAACATATAGACCAGGTAAAGAGCACCTTAAACCTTGCACACAGAACCAGACCATGCCAAATATCTGTTGTATATTTTTGATTAGAGTTTTACACTCTTTTGTGTCCCATTTAACAACTGCCTAAAGGCAAAAATTATAGCTTTGAAAATAATTTTTTGCAACAGAGATTGAAAATAACCATGACAGGAAGCACTAGAACCCAGAAATATCTGGGGGGAAATCAGGAAAATTACCTTGACATAGTAATAGTATCTGTTTAGAAACAAGATGAGCTTGAGCCACTTTGCCTTCACCCTGGGGCAGGTGAAGAAGACATTAGTAGCGGTATTGATTAGATTGTGTATCTGTTTCAGGCAATAACGACACTCATTTTGCAAAGTGATCTGACATGTAATGATGAAAAAGCACTAAACAGGAACAAGGCACTACTACTGCCAACATAAAAATATGCCCTTAACACTGTCTGAAAGCACAAACCTAAAAAACATCCAGAACTTAAAAGCACGGGGCTCTAACAGAATCACCATCTTAAATATCGGCTCCAATTAACAGAACTAAACGCGGGCACAGGAAGCTCTGCAGCTTGTCACTTCTGCCTTCTGAAACTGTTCCACAGGAAAACACCTTTTGCAAACCGCAACAGTTTTCTGCAGTTGTTCTCAGGACTTCTGCAAGCTCAGCCTGCGAGCGACCACACAGCCAGTGCTTCTGAAACTCCAGCGAGTTTGACACAAATGAGGTGGAGAGTGCAGAAGCACAAACACAGAAAAGCCATGTCTTCAAAGGACCTTTAATCATTTTGCCTTGGCAAGTCACAAATTCCACGTGTCAGGACACAGCTGGAACACACACACACATTTTGCCTCAAGCTTCCTCAGCTCCATACCCGCAGGTGAAACCCAGCTGAACACACTGCAGGAAACCACCCAACTCACTCGGGACACACAGCCAGGAAGAACTTTTAGTCAAAAAGATGACTCTGCTTATCAAACTCATTAAACAGATTCTATAACAACATTAAACAGTCAAGGAGCCTTTTAACTAGATGATGATATTCAAAAAGGATCAAAGAAAGCTAATGGGTACTGATCAAATGCAGAAAGGAAACCTGACAGTCTGCAGTTGGGCATTTTCCACACAGAGAACAACAGGTTTTGGACTCAAGTCTGTCAGCTTTCCTTTCTCCAACTGCTCCCATTTATTCTCCACCTTCTTCATTACAGTCACGGGCAACAGACATGTAGCTGCAGTCAGCTGTGGGAAATGGCCTGTGGTGCTACCCATGAGGTCACGTTTCCCCAGCCTTCATGGTCTGAGCACAGACACGATCCTCACAGCCAAAAAGCACAGTCTGCCTAAAAGCACCAGCTTCCAACGAGACAGTTCTGTGGGTTTTGTTGTTGTGAGGTTTTTGTTTATTTGTTTGTTGCTTGTTTTTTAAAGACAAAAGGTCAAATAGCAGTATGGTGGGCAGGTGTGGTGCTCACTGCTGGGGGAGAACCTCACTGTATTTATGAACCACACCTTCACGTGAGCTTCTCCAGAGCCTCCTACTTCCCCAGGCCCAGCCATTCTCCTCTGACCATCACCGCACGTGCTCAGGTGAGAGGAAACTGCCACGATAAACACCATTTCCTCCTGGGTCACTATAGGTTTGCTTTTGTCTCTCTGATGGGATGGAAAGGTTTTTTCCTCCATACTCAAGTGGGAGGGACGCAGAGCTCCGATGAACACTGCTAAGCACACTGAAAAGTGAACAGCAAATAACAGCAGTGACCTTCAATGTAAATATTTAACCACCACAGCAGGTTAGATATTAAAAACTGAACCCAGCTCTCTTGGCAGTATTTTTAGCACTTGGTAGCATATTTTCTTAATTCCTTAAAAACCTGAATAAATACATTTTTAATTAAGTCCTCTCTCACTTGAAGTATGACTCCAGCTCAATAATTAGAATCTCGAAAAGAAAAAAGGGAAGATTTGAAATATCAACAACTTGATACTACTTCTAGTATTAACATGACTGTTAGTTCTGTATTCCATCGTTTGTAGAGTCCACATGAAAAATCTCATTTACCTGCAGCGTCATGAAGGCTGCAGCTGCACCACCACGTCTGAACCGAGGTCTGTGCTCTCTTTGGGAAGAGAAACTCAAAACTACACTGAGAGTCAACATTTGTAACTGCTGCCACAACCTGAATTCATGCCCTACCCTCCTGAGTTTAAATCTTGAGAAATTAAAGGCAGAAAAACTAAAATCTAACAGTTATTTTTAAAAGCGTTGTGTACTCTTAACATCTGCTCATTAGACACTGTGACTGATCTTTAAAAATATCTGCTGGAAAATACACAGGCTATTTCTCTTCTCTTGCTACCCCACCGTAAGGAATTATTCATTTTTAGTTTAAAATTGGCTATAGGTAAATACACATGAAAAGCTGTAGAAAATTCTCCCATTTTCAGTAACACTTCCTCCTCTCACATCAATGAATGATTCTGGAAACTGCAAATTCCTTTTTTTTTAAAAAATCTTATGTATTTATAGGCAGCTATTACGCATAGATGAATGCACCAGATAGGTACTCTGGGAAGAACAGTGGATTTAGTAATCTGGTTGATTAGAAAAAAAATCCCACAGAGAAGGGTGAAATTTTTATAAACAAGTGCAGAATTTTAAAATTCCCCTTGAAACACCCTTAATGCCATGTACTCTTGCTTTTGACTAAGGCAATGTATTCACAGTCATGCTCCTTTCCACAACTCCTCAGCCCACGTTAAAAGTAGTGATGTTTGTAGCATAGAATTTTCCCTGCTTGACTATTACACGTCCCTCTCTGATGCTGCAGCTTTGTGAATTGATTTTCCAGTAACATACATTGACAAAATACCCAGAGGAAGCTCTGGATCAATGAGCTGCAGAAGAGGCATGTGAAATGTAAATGCTTCGCACCGACTGCACGGAGATCAATCTGAACAACAAATGTTAGGTGGGACACAAACGGCCTGGGGCAGTTTCCTGATTTAACAGGCTCTTCTCTCTGTCTCCATGATTCACAACACGGCACAAGCAGGAGTAAGTTCCTACAGGATGAACTCCACACGGGTGTAAGTGCATCCCCAGCCAGGCGGGTTCGCGTGGGAAACGCGAGATGTCAGACCCAGGCTCTTTGGTCTCACAAACGTTCCCGCTGCGCCGTGCTGCTCGTTTGCCAAAGACTGGAGCCATTTGCTAAATTAAGTCATAAGTGCCATGCCATAAGGAAACTGTTCTGAAACCACTGGGAGAAAAAATATTAATACAAAAATTAGCACTAGGGAAATATTTTGGTAGCTCCAGTTGCATGGAGCAGTCAGTCTTTGAGACTGCTAAATTAAAAAGTTGCTAATAGCTCAGGAACAGAAATTATAGACCCGTATCATCTATAAGCACATACACACACACACATATATTTGAACGGGGGGTGGGGAGGAGAGAGAGAAAAAAAAAAAAACACATTGATTGTTTTCATTTAGATTTACCCTGGGAAGAGCACTGAACCTTCTCCCCTACCTATCAAATCTTTCCAATGTTGATTTCAATTTCAAAAATAGTTTTTGCAAGGCCATGCCTCACTGGTTTTTAAAGCATTTAAAACAGCAGGTGTGAAAACCCAAGACGTAACGAGCCACTTGATAATACAGAGCAATCCACTTAAATGTACTTTATGCTCTCAGCAAAATTAACCCATGAATCAAAGGTGGCACTTTTTTTTTGATTTTGCTGCTGTGGAACAAAATACAAGAGCAGAAGAGGAACACGCACAGCCCACACTGAGGTGTGCTCACCACAGCCTTTTCCACTGAAGCTTCCTTATCTTACAACCAGTATCTGTTTGAAGATTCTTTGTACCACATAAAAAACATTAAATATTTACATTGACTCTCCCATCCCTTGCTAATTCAAATCTTAGTATGATTCCATTCATTGCACCCTCTTCCTCTCCCTCACTCTCTCATTACTACATAATTAACTAGAATTAGGGACTGCACATGCAACACTAAATCTTTTATGCAAAATACCCTCTCTTCTATTCAGAATAGCTTTCTCATGAGGAAACTCAATGCTGACTACTCTGAAGAATGGGGTTTTGTTTTATAGTGAAGAAAAAGTTGAGACATTTCATTAGCAAGACAGTTTTCGACCCCTCATAACCACAGATGAAGGGATGACATACAAAACAGCTTCTCACACAGATTACCAGCAGTGCCTTCCTACTCATTCTGCATCTCTGCAACTGATACTTTGAATCAAAAAGCAAAAATTACAGGTAGGAAAAAAAATAAATCTTAGACACTTTGAGGTGCAACATACACTATAAATTGTACAATTAAGTTACTGAGCTGTATCCTTTGTATGACAGGACCATACTATCCTCAAATTCACTAATTCTTTAAATTCTTATAGAAGCCTCTGTACTTCCATGGCATCCTATTTCAGCATCTCCACTGCTGCTTCTAACACAAAAGCATAAAAAGCAACATGTTCTATATGTCTAAGGACATTGTTACAAGTTAAAAAAATATGCTTCAAAAGCACCACAGAAACATTACCAGTATATTCCTTACACAATGCAGGTGCAAAAATACAGTACTACTTTATTTCTGTAAATAACCAACTGCAGTAGAAAAAACTTCATTGAATTGAAGGCCACATACAAAACTACTCAGCAGACAGCAAAGTTTTAAAACAAATCAGTGGTTTGTACTCAACACTGAGGTCACAACTAAGTTACAGGTCAAACAAAATTGTTCTGATAAATACCTGAACTAGAACAAGATGGTCACTCCCTACCACTGAATTATCCAAAACAATAATTGCAACTCTCTAATGGTCTGTTGGGAAGGATTTTTTTTTCCCTTTACATACATCAAACAGTACTGAATGAATGTGCAGTTTAATGAAACTACTATAACAACACCAAAATGATTTAAATGAAGTCTGAGAATGGACACAGGTATAGTAGAGATACAGCTTTTCAAGTAGCATCATGCAGAATCTAAAATCCTTACTGATCTAACAAAAAGTCAAAAGCATCCACATGTGTATAAGTAAACTCAAGCAACAGCCAGAAAAAGAGTGGAATGCTCATAATGGAATGAAAAAGAGAAGGAGGGGACAAGAAAAAAAAAAGTCAAGAATAAAAACTGATTAGTTAGGTCATCCGATGCACAGCTGCAAAAAAGAAACAAAGCAGAACCCAGGGATTTCTATGTTTTCTGAGATGTCTCTCTTATCAAAAGCAGGACCAGACACACTTCAATCATTCCTGAGGAACATGCTTAATCTGGTTTTAACAGTTTAAAATAGTAAGACTCTCAAACCCTTCCAGCCAACCTTGTTGTCAGAAAGCTTCTCCCAGTAGCTAGCTTTAGTTTCTACCTATTT